TAGCTTAGAGTGATGCTATAACGCGCATACTGCATAGTAATAAAAATATACGGTGATATGAAATATACAATACTAAAAAATAAAGTAATATGATAATATACAATAATATACCATCACAAAAAGGCATAAACAATGATAGGAATGGAAAAGTAACAAGCCTTTTGGGCGAAATCATGAATCCAACTGAGAGCACCGGCTTCCAGATGCCCTTCTGCATTCTTTTCTTGCAGTATGATAAGAATCTATCATGGTCGTTTTCAGTAAAGCAAAGCATGAGCCAAATCTTTCGTGTATTAATTCGTTCATGTCTGCGCGTCAGTCAAGTCGGTCATTTCATTACACTGTATTCAGCTACTGCAGAATTTGCGTTACAGCTCTTCAACTCTAACACAGTAAAAAAAATAAATATAGAAATTTCCCGCAGTAACCCTATAAACTTATACATTATTTAAAATGAAATGTCGTAAAAGCGGAAGCACTGCGAGCAGACGCTAGCTCTCCGTTTAAACTAGCTTTTTGGCTTCAAAGAATCCTTTCAAATGACGTATCTGCCATGCTCCGGTTAATAATAGCACCAGAAGCTGCGCAATGGACCACCACAACACACGCGAATTGGTGTTCTCGCTGGTTTGACGGAAGCGTTCCTCCCTACAAAAAAGTCCATAACCAGCAGAACAAAGAATACGCGTTAAATTTGGAGATGTGAGAATGAGGTAGACATCGATGTGGTTGGTAGCAATCACATTACAAGTACAAAGTGGAAAGTGCAGAAGTATAAGGAATGCAGTTTAAAGCATTTTTAGTTAGGCGACAATAAGCTTTCGTTCAGGAATGAAAAAGGATGGTGTGGAAATCGAAGTACAAAAAGAATTTGAAGTGGCCCCATTCCTGCTTTCAAGAAATCACTGTTCAAAGTATCTTTTATGGGGATGCACAAAACGATGCTCTCATCACCAACCTGTATCGTTGATAGTTTTGTTCCTTGGCGATTTGTTCGACCTGATCAAGTAGCTGTCTGATCCGCAATTGCAATTCATTCAATTTGTCTTTAGCGGCCACCTTAAAGGTTACACATTAAATTGTTGTATATAAAAACACTTGAATTTTAGCGGACTGAAGCTCCTAGTCAAAAAGCCGCACCAATCGAGTTTTTGTGAAAATTACATTGTTTTGTGATCTGTTATACTCAAAAAGTGGTTTCGACGCAGGTCAGTCACTGAAATCAACCAAATCAGAAATTTCAACGCCCACCTGCTCATAATCCTGAGCATGTTCTCCGGCCTGAATGTCGAGATATACCCGGAGCTGTGCGCCACTAAACCATGCCGTCGAATTAGAATACAAGCAAATTACATGCTCACCAGGCGAATGTGAAGTAAATGTAAATCGTCCCTCACTAGTGTACAGTTTCGATAAAACTATCTGAAAATACAGGTGAGAAATTGTTAATGCAGCGACATCAAGACATACAGCAGCTGTAATGATTTAATTCGAGCTGAATTCAACAAAACTACAGAAATCAAAGCGGAGCCTGTAGCAGCAGCGAATTCCCTCGAAAGGCAAAACAATAGGAACAGACGACGAACTGCCAAATCTCGGATCACATCGTTTTCAGTACTGGAAACAGCAGAACCCGTTCGACATAACTGTTATGCAAACGGGCTACTTCCTGATGTCAACTCACTGTAAAGCCCACATTTGTTTCCAAAACAGTGTTTCATGATCATCTTCGAGCATACAACAACATACAGCTTTTTTCTGGCTACAGCCATTCCATGCCTCTTTGAAAGGCATCAGCAAGGTCTACTGTCAAAGTATCGGAAGAACTGAGATAATCTGAAAGCAAGCACCAGTGTACCTTGTCCTCAGGAT